GACAAGATCCCTGTCTTTAGCTCCCGCTGGCGTTTCACGGCATTCCGGTTGAAGACTCGTTGATACGCTGTCCATGCCTGGGTGCAGAGGTCGGATTAGATCACCAAAGCCAATCATCCACAGCAAAGAAATGTACAAAATGCTGGAGAACAGACTTTCCGATCCACGAGACGAGTTCAGTGACGAATACAAGGGCAAATATGGTGACGATGAGAGACATGAGGAACCGATGGGCTGCGCGCTTACGACCGGAGTCTTAACCCGGAGATAAGGTTAGCGTACGTACCCTGTGCCTCGGTTCCGCCTGTGGTGAGTATGAGTCCATCGAACAATGCTCCACACAGCAGATCATAGGCAACCATTGAGCACAGGGCCTGCACCGTTTACCCCCATGAGGTCCCCACCATCCGTCGGATCGGTCGCGGTCAAAAGCATTTCCTTGACATCTAAGAAGAACTGGTGGATGGGTGAGAACCCGATGTATCATAGGACCAACATCAGACTGATACTTCTCTTCAGTGGAGCTCGATGATGAGGAGAACACGTTGAATGCCACACAGCTGGCCGAGCCCGTTCTCAACAACTACGTCCCGCACTCCCAGCCACCCCCACCCCCACCAGCAATTCCGTCCTCCCCAACCTACCATGCGCCAAGAAATCCGAGCACTATTTTCTCTTTCCCCACCCCCGCTATCTATTCCGCACCACCCAATGCCACTGCATCACTAAAACCCTTTGCCCTGGGCTCTGCATCTGAGCTTTTCAAGTGCATTGTGAAAAAACCAGAGATTGTGCAACTAGAGATCAACGATGAAATGCAAAGCAATGCCCTAGATGTCACCGCTCAGTTTCTTGCTGAACTGCGCGTTTACACCCGTGTGGCACCACATCGGAATATACCTGCCTTCCTGGGCTGTCTCGATGGCGTCGGCATGGTTCTGGAATTTCTCGAGGGAGGGACGCTTTTCGACTATCTTAAGCAGTACGCGCCGCTGCCGCGTATTCGCTTATGTGATTTCCACAATCAACTACTCGATGCGCTCACTCATCTACACGCGCACGGGCTGTCCCATGGCGACCTCTCGTTACTCAACGTCCAAGTAATGGAGAGGTTTGGAGAGCTGACGTTGAAGATGATCGACTTTGGCCGATCCGTGTCGGCCAGCTCGGTGCTCGCGCCGCCAGACGGTGACCCAGTGGATCCTTGGGTACACCTAAATACCGACCCAACTGAACCACGCAAAGAACAAATATTCCCGGGTACGCGTCCCTTCTCGGCCCCGGAAATTTTGCGGGGGGAATGTCATGATGCCCAGCTTGCGGACGCGTACAGTTTCGGAATGGTTTTAGTGTGCCTGGAACGCGGCCAGCTGGTTGACGTGAAGCCCTGGAACCAGCGGAAAGACCTGTACCCTGAGGACCTTTTAGATGGGTGTACGTTATTTGGAGGAAGGATAAGAGAGTATCTAAGGAGAGGGGACGAACGAAGAAGGCTTTTGCGGGATGACACGATCGACATAACGAGTGCATGACAATGGTGGTGGTAGTAGCTTCTAACTGCGTGACCTCGTGCATAGTACACGAACAGTTTGTAATTACCTTGCAGTGCTCTTGCAATTGCTAGCCGGTCGAGTCAACAAGACCACACAAGTGCTGCTTCACGCGTTGAGGTGGAGCAGTCCTATCCTCACCTCACCATCATGGCTTTTGTCCATCCTTCACGCATGGCTCTCATACCCAAAGACTCACGTTCTCTTCCTCCACCTGCCTCCTTGCCGCACCCACGACCATCAAGTACCAACAGAGGGCGTGACCAGAGCGCGGACCGCAACCCAAGGCGCAGCAGGGACGAAGAATACAATGGCGAACGTGAACGAGGTGGACGCAGTGACCATAGTCGCAACTACTTGGACCGAAATGACGAACGACGACGTGATCGAGGGCGTAGCAGTGACCGCGACGTGCACCGCGACCAAGATCGTCTTCAAAGTCGCCACCGCAGCAATGGCGACCGTTTCAATGACCGTAGGGATGAAAATCGCGACAGCAACTCGAAAGGACCGCGCGCTCAGCAGGATGATCGCTCTTCTGTGCGGTCTCCACCCCCACCATCTAAGTCCACCCTTGGGCGCGCAAGTCCATCATACGATGACTACCCCCGGCGACATTCTGTCCCATCACCACCACCTCGTGATGACAGACCTGGGCGGCCAGATTCACCATCTGAGAATGGTCCCCCTTGGCGCCAGCAGGAAAACATGTACAGGAGGGACGGTCGGCTGGACGGAGGGGATGACTATTTTGATCGGTAAGTGGCTTTATGTATGCGCATGTCAGAAGCCCTTATAGTTTTTGTCCAGGCGCCGACAACAGCGTGTCAATAATACTTTTAGTATCTGGCCGCCGTCCCCTCGTGCTCCCGCAAGGGATCTGTGCGTATTCTCTATTCTTCTCAAGTACATTATACCCATTCTGCACCCTGTAGATCACCGGAGCGAGACCGAGAACCACGCAAAAAGCATAAACGTGATCGTTCCACTTCTGTTTCATCTTCGACGGATAGTGAAGAGGACCGGAGGCGTCGTGAAAGAAAAGAACGCAAGCGAGCGCGGAAGGAAAAGGACAAGCAGAGGCGGCGACACCGACGTTCACAAACTGCCTCGGATGATGAGGCCCGTGAGCGTCATCGTGATAGCAGGAGGAAGCGCAGCCGGTCAACAAGCCGAGAACCTCGCAAAACTCGGTCACGAACGCGAAGCCCACGCCGCGTCCAATCGAGTGATGAAGACGAATGGGTGGAAAAACCTGCACCCTCTGGCTCCTTTGTCCCTGCTGTCCCCACTACTATTCCGGCCGTGAACATTTCACCACCATCTATCACCCGGAATGCTCAAAGGGGTGCTATTGACAATGATGGGTCTGATGAGGAAGTTGGCCCACAACCAGTTCTAGCGCCTTCGACTACCAAGAAGCTCGATGAACGCGCTTACGGTGGAGCTCTCCTACGCGGAGAAGGCAGCGCGATGGCTGCTTTCTTACAGGACGGCACGGATGTGCGCATTCCGCGACGTGGAGAAATCGGTCTCACCTCAAACGAAATTGGCAAGTTCGAGGCAGTAGGGTATGTCATGAGCGGCTCACGGCATCGTCGCATGAACGCGGTGCGCATGCGCAAAGAGAACCAGGTTATCAGTGCGGAGGAAAAACGGGGAATATTGAAATTGCAGCTGGAGGAGAAGCAGAGACGCGAGGCTATTCTGAGGGAGGAGTTCCAAGAGCTCTTAACAGACCGGCTGAAAGGAACAGAAGGCGCTAAAACCTCATAAACATTTCTGATGTTCACATCTACTGTCATTATGCCACACTGTGCTACTTGCTTGTGTTCTGTGTTCACTGTGAATCCAATGTCCCTAGGGCACTTTAGCGTGCATAGAGACTTGTGACGGGTGGGTAAGGAAGATAACATTGGAAGATGAGATACGAGTGAGACAGCTCCTGAACAACACGCGGTGAGGTCATCACAACTCCTGATGAGTGGATTTGCTCGTCAGGCCGACAAGCTCAACATCGAAGACCAAGGCCGAGTTAACTGGAATCACGGACCCAAATCCACGTTCCCCTGAATTACTGGGTGTCAACGCACAATGGCAAATATAGGGACATTAAACAAACCATAAGCCATGTGAGAGGGAATGGTGAGAGTGCGCTTTTCGCCGACGCACATCCCGACAAGACCCTCATCCCAACCCTTGATAACTTGTCCAACACCGACTAGAGGGAAGAGAGGGTATTAAAGGTAGGAACACAGGATCGGAGAGAAAGCCGTACGTGTCAAAGGCAGGGGTTGGCCACGGTCATGGCTATGTTCGCATGTTCAACAAAGTAGGAAGAAAAGCGAACAGGCACTTCGCATCATACCTCGAGTCAAATTTGTTGCCATCGGAAAATAGCTTTCCGGTCTGTGCGGGAGGGAGGTCTGAGCTACGTTCACTACAGGAGTGGGGCAGCATCAACGCACATAATGAACCTTGATTGGGTCACCCTTCTGTGCTTTGACAGTGCAGTCCGATGGCGTATGTGTCGTCTTTATTTCTAGCTCTTTCGGCGGGGACTGCTGCGCAGACACGAGCAGCCCGAAAACGAAAATAGATATCGACTTTAGGAGTTGCATCGGTGGTCAAATCGCCAGTGAACGTGGCCGTGGTCCCGTGACCCTTTACTTCCGCTTTTGAAAAACGGCAGTTTCATGATTTGTCAGCGATGCAACTGTACAGTTCCTAGTATCGCGTAACTCTATTCTCCACATCTCCATCATCGTCGAGCGCAAGCAGTTCTGTGGAGCTAGATTCTTAGAAAATGGTGCGTACAGGTTACAGTAATGTTACAACTCTTTGGCGATGCTCAGTGCCCCCGTTCTGCTAGCCTTCTCAAAAATCATTCCGCACAAAACGCATCCTAGCCAAAGCTTCGCGCCAGAACCGGTGAGCCTACCATTCTACTATCGTTTGTGGTCACTCTGTTCTCATGTTCGAATGCAGGCCAATCCCTCAATGGTTCCGCCTAAAGACTGACACCAAGATCCAAGTGCGTTGTTTGATGTTCTTGAGTCTGTATGAATGTGTCACCGAAACTGATATTTACTGGCGATATAGTACAATGCCAAACGTCGTCATTGGAGACGCACGAAACTGAACATATGATTATATGATGGAGTTGGTCAATCCATGGCAGATTACAATTACCTCATTTTCAGGATGTAAATTCTGAGGATCCTTCCTCCCTCATTTCCAGAATCCCCTATGATGAGACGCCAGCCATTTGTGCTGGCAGACAGGGTGCTCAGGGAATGCATGGGGTCTATGTACCCATCCGATAAGTGTAGCCAGTAGCCAGACACAAAGCCAGGACTTTATCAGACCGAATGAAAATCACATCGTTACACCGTTCATGATGTTTGGGCTTGGTCACGTGATCAACAAGCTTGTTGCTCAAAAAAGTAGTGCGTTGACTGGGAGTCGAACCCAGGGCTGCTCAACTCATTGACAATGGGAATGAGCAAGGTTACCGTTACCCCATCAATGCTTAGTGTATCTAGAAAGTGTTTAGCCTGTATTCCAACTCAAATAAATCAGGTCTCACAATTGACATGAACACATGAGAGGAACACAGTTGACGAACTTGCGAGATGGCCTGCGCTTGGCCTGCGATCGCCAATTGGCCAATATGATAGATGGATGACAAAGCTGACTGATTCCCACGACCTTCTTTCATTAAGTGTGACTGAATTCTTTGAACCGCGACCTTTGAGCCGCGACCACGATGGCGGACATACCGACGCTAAGCATCACTCTTTTGGGTGCGGGCCAAGAAGTTGGAAGGTCGTGCTGCGTGCTTCAATACCGAGATATCACTATCGTTTTGGATGCTGGTGTGCATCCCGCCCTTACAGGAATGGCGTCTCTGCCCTTCATTGATGAGCTAGACTGGAGCACGGTAGATGCAATACTCATCACCCAGTGCGCTTCCTTTCATCCTTTGAGTCCGAAATAATACCTCCAACATTCGTTCAGTTTCCATCTAGATCATGCGGCAGCCTTGACATATATCACAGAAAAGGTGTGGGAAGGTTGCACTCGATGACATCGGCTCAATCCCTCAATTCGTCTAGACAAATTTCAGAGAAGGAAAGGGCAAAATTTACATGACCCATCCAACGAAAGCGCTTCATAAGTTTATGATGCAAGACTTCGTCCGGATGAGGTGTGTTGCTAACATATGCCGTTCTTCATGCCACTTACGTGGGTTTTAGCAATTCATCAACCGACGCTCTGATCTCACCCCTTGATCTATCAATGTCTATTTCTTCCATCATTCCCGTCTCGGTTCACCAGCTGATCACTCCCTGCCCTGGTGTGACTTTTACGCCGTACCACGCAGGGCACGTTCTTGGGGCGTGCATGTTCATGATTGACATAGCGGGCCACAAAGTTCTCTATACAGGCGATTATTCTCGCGAGGAGGATCGCCATCTCGTAAAGGCAGAGGTTCCTCCCGTACATCCGGACGTGCTCATCGTCGAAAGTACTTACGGTGTGCAAAGCCTCGAGGGGCGTGAGGAAAAGGAGCTGCGCTTTACGAACCTAGTGCATTCCATCATTCGTCGGGGAGGACACGTGTTACTTCCAACTTTTGCGTTAGGGCGTGCGCAAGAGCTTTTGCTCATCCTTGACGAGTACTGGAAGAAACACCCTGACCTGCACAGTGTTCCCATCTATTATGCATCGAGCCTCGCGCGCAAGTGTATGGCTGTTTACCAAACGTACATTCATACTATGAATTCCAACATCCGATCAAGGTTTGCAAGAAGAGACAACCCCTTTGTCTTCAAGTACGTTTCTTAATGCTTCATCTTGTCGTGTTTCACTCAATCGTATCAGGCATATCTCCAACGTACCTCAAGCCCGTGGTTGGGAACGCAAAATAGCCGAGGGGCCTCCTTGTGTCGTTCTTGCTAGTCCGGGGATGTTGCAATCAGGCACAAGTAGAGAACTCTTTGAACTCTGGGCTCCAGACTCTCGGAACGGTCTCATTGTCACTGGTTACTCCGTCGAAGGCACGCCAGCACGGGTGAGTCACCCTTCATTTTGGAAATTTCTTGTAGCGTGGAGTTTCGGGGATGCAGAGGTATCTTTCTTGTGTGTATATACGAAGCAATGGATCTTATTCTCCCATCGCGTGTGATTCCTGAGTCTTTTGCCTACTTGATGAGAGGTGCAATTGAGGACTTTTACTGATCACCTCTCGCAACTAGGAAATCATGAATGAACCCGAAGAGATAGTCGGAATGAAGGGCAACGCCATCCCGCGCAAGATTTCCGTGGACTATATCTCTTTCAGCGCACACGTCGATTACTCACAAAACTCTGAGTTCATTGACTTAATCAAGGCCCCTCACATTGTGTGTTCTTCTGACTTTTATTCGCCCCATCCCCTTGACGTACATCGTAGGTCCTCGTGCATGGCGAACAAACGGCCATGGGTCGCCTTAGGGCTGCGTTGCAAGCTAAATATAAGAACCGGGACGAGGATATTAAGATTTACTCGCCCCGCAACCTCGAGACGTTGAATCTCACCTTCCGCCCCGAACGAGTTGCCAAAGTCATTGGCGGTTTGGCCGCCAAACCTCCTCAGGCAAACGACGTCCTCTCTGGCTTGCTCGTGTCGAAAGACTACTCATACACGTTGTTGGATCCTCGCGACTTGCGCGACTTCGCCGGACTTTCGACGTGCGTTGTGACGCAACGTCAGAAAGTCGCCCTTTACGTCGGATGGGGTCTCGTGAGGTGGCACTTGGAGGGTATGTATGGTAATGTTGAAGAGGGAATAGATCACGATGGGATTCCAACAATGCGGGTATGTTCCTTTGGTGTTAGTCCTGTTAAGACGGAATTGACCTGCTGAGGGTTGTATCAGGTAATGAGTGCGGTAGATGTGAAACAGACCGCTGAAAATGAACTTACCCTGGAATGGGATTCGAGCGCTGCAAACGACATGATTGCTGATTCAACACTTGCAGTCATCACGGAGATTGACAAGAGTCCAGCATCCGTAAAACGTACTGATCACCTTTGACCGCGCATGTATACGCGTAACCTGATCATGATACCTAGTGACTACTGGAACACACACACATCGACACGAGCACGAGCATCACCCGCACTCGGACCACGACTACACGCATAACCCGATGGTACGCATTCAGCGACTTGGGCTGTTCCTTGAAGCGCACTTTGGCGAGGTTGAATACCACATGCCAGACGAGGATATGGCATCCGAACAAGAGGAGTCGACATCCCACGGCGAACCATCCTTCTTAATCCAACTAGATGATGCTGAGGCTCGAATCAACCTGCTTTCCATGGTACGCCCCTCCCTTTCTATATCGCACTTTTCCTCCCACGCTAATGTCATTACGCACAGACGGTCGATAGCAGTAGCGAGGCACTGCGGAGACGTGTCGAGGCAGTCCTCGAAATGGCAGTATCGACAGTGAGCTCGCTAAGCGAGTCATTCGCATCCGGTGCTCCAGAGGAGTTCTCGAGCAGTCGCATTCACAAACCGAAAGCAGATGTTCCCCCATCAGATGAGGCGGAGGGAGATGTGAAGCAAGCCGTGGCCCGTCACAGTGAAGAGTCAGCCACAGAGGTTGAAACACGACAACCGTATGATTGAAACGACAGTCGTGTCATTGTCGAGGTCGGGTGATATTTTAGATACGCTATACTGTTATAGTAAATTCAAAATCAAAAAAATCGGCAAGTGCCAGCCATTCGAATCGGTGTACGCGGTGCTCGTCGTTGCGCACGGCTTGGGCGCTCTTTTCCCTCAATTTCCTTGAGCTCGACGTCGACCGTTGTGACGCGTGCGTTCATGTTTCGCAGCCCCGTACCCTCGCCTCGCTCACTAGTCCCGCCATCCTCTTTTCCGTCCGGACTTCATCCGAACGCGTCGCGTGGCGATCGCAATGGCAACCGTGCTGATGCCGATTCGAGGCGGACCTCTCGCCTCGATATGAGCTTTGAGCAGGCGTTGGAAGCAGGGGAAACGGTGGTCATTAAAGAGGGGATTGACGTCGAGAGTCTAGGGATTGATTCGGCGTCTCTTTCTTCCAGTTCCCCTTTGTCCCCACCGGCCTCGTCCCGACCTCAAAGTATGCTTCCTCCCCAACCTAAAAACTCTCTAGCTTCGCCTACTCCCAGGCCTCCCGCCTCCATTTCTGCTTCAACCTCTGCCTCGTCCTCCTCTAACGATTTGTTTTATGACGCTGAGGACCCTGATTATCAAACCAAGCGCCGTTCAATGTATCGGTCACAGGGAACCGCGAGTAGTCCAGATCTTGCTACCCTCGTCCGCAAGGCGAAACAAAGGGCGAGCATATTACCATCTCAACTTACCGGCAAGGACAGGCGCCACGAAGCTGCACCGCCATTGCCTGCAGGCCCCCACGCGACACCGAACCCTGCTCCGCGACACCGCCAAAGGTCCTCTACTTCATCCACTGGCCAAACCGTCCCAGCCCCGACTTCACCGGCCATGCAGAAAGGCAAGCCTCAGAAGCCGGGACAGTCCACCGGTCCACCATCCAACGGCGCTGGGCGGGTGCCCGCCAGCTCGAGTCTTGACGATGGGAGTGTAAAGGCACGTTTTGAGGCTCATGCTGCGTATGGGGGTGCTGATAGCAAACCAGAACACGAAATCTTCGGTTCGGCAAAAGACGAGTGCGTTCTTGGGCAGGATGCTAAACGCAACTCGCGAACGCTCCGTACGTAGTTATATAATTCCCGCGGCCCTCAACGTAACCCATTCTCCTTCAGAAGACCGATGCGTCGTCCACGTCGAGACGAATGGCACAAATAACTCCACCCGTTCCCCCGTTACCAGCATCACCGACGTCAGAAGCTTTCCCGATTTCTCCCCGACAAGCCCCAATTCTCACAGCACTGGACACCTCGAAGCCTCTTCCTCCTCTTCACATTGAAGCTACAACCAGCGGTAAGAGCATTATATATATCTATCCACTACTCCTAGTCATCGAGTATGGACTTCTCAGGGCTGTCGCCCCGGCCACCCTCCCCTGGAAAGACCGTGTGTGCCCGTGATGCCACCGCGCAGGTCAGGTTATTGGCTGGTAAACGACGAAGCATGTCTGTTGGTGAAGTTGACCTCATGAAAACCACGAGTTCCTCTTTGACACCTGTAACACCTGCAAGCGCACGCGAGAAGCGCAGTGAAGAATTAATGGGCTGGGACTCCACTATGCGAGGCATTCTGTCTGACTTCAAGGGAGAACTCTCTCAGTTTGATCAAGATACCTCCGCGACGACAAACATGCTTGGCCTTCGGTCAGTACCAGGGTCACCTCAACAACACGCCAGATCGCGTATGCGGAGTGCTGAGCCGAGCACCTCTGCTTCTACCAACCCAGACATCCGACAAGTGACGCCCACGATAAAGCCAAATCCGACCATTGTTGCCTATGCACCGGACGTCGATGAAACGGGCGTCCGTAGGGGAAGCATAGA